TGGGGATTGTTTCAACCCTACCGCACCCCAAGAATGGCTCCCTGCAAACATTATGCAAGCAAGACAAGGTTTATAGGAAGAGGTTATACCTTTTATTAGACCAATTAGAGTGGCTGGCAAAATGAGGCAGGATGTCAAGTACATAAAATGTCCTTATTCAGTGGAAATAGAGTTCTATTCTTCAAACAACACAAAAAATTCAAGGTCAAATACAGACTGGAGTCAATTGCTCAGAGTTGAATTAGATACGTATCACATCATTTTTGAAGCAGAGGTCATTGTTTCCTGCAGACTAGAAGGGATGTTAATCGGAGGCAAGAGGGAGATGGCAAGCTGGTTATATCCTTGAGGAAAAACAGGCAGCTTATAGCCTGTGGGACACTGAAGGGCTAGTAAAGGAGGAGAGGGAAGGGAAAATCTGTGCAGGAACATCCACACTGAGTCTGTGGATACCCAGTACTTGTACCCACAGATCTTGCCATGCCCACAGGCCAGCCCATCAGAGCCATACCTCTTACTGCTTTGTGCACATGCCTGCCTGAGTGGAAACCAGCAGTCAAAGAGTAAAGTTAAGTTAAGTATGTTCACAAGACAGTAGTGCACATCTTGCAAAGATGACTGTTTCAAGGGCTGAAGATTTGCTCAAGGAACGTGTTGCTAGAAGCAGGATATTTCACAATCTTTGCTTTAGCGTGTGTCTCGGGGGTCCTGCATGGTCCATGGTGTCTTGGACTGCATGTTAGAAGAAATCTGCGTAAAGGCAGTGCAAGCATATTTGCTAAGTACCTTCATCTTTACAGCTTCTAGGAACATCGGTATAAGTACACACCTACATTTAGACTTCCCTGAATTTTTTCTCTCTTGCTCTTAAGATCTTTCTGAAGTACACATTTCCCCACTGCAAGGGCATTCTCAACTGTAAAAGAAAACCGTACCTGTCATGGTGCCCCATCCATGTTGGTGCTTCTGTTTGTTGTGAAGGATGTGATGGGGCTGGGGATGTGCAGCAGAGCACATGGCTATAACTAGTATCAGCCCCAGGCTGCACTTGATAGCTTTCGGGCAGAGCAGCCTGCGCCGGTGGGCTAGAAGCACAGCAGCACCACAAAGGCCAGGGAGGTTTCACTGTTGCCACCTGACCCATTTTTGTGCCAAGCAGCTCACAGGACAGGATGGGAGAAGATCGCTGTTACCGATATGCCTGGCCAATGTGAGCACAGTGACGCCTGCAATAGAGTATACAAGGAGCATGCTTTGTGGTATTATTTATTTAGGAACCGTGAGTAACTACAGCTGTAGAGTTCTCATCTTTGCAATTCTGATGGTTTAACAAGCTGGGAGAACATAAGCATATTTTTATTAAGGTACAAAATACACCCCGTTGTTGTCTAAAACATTTAAAAAACGTGAGAAAAGCTCTGTATGCTCTAAATCAGATTCAATACCTTTCTGTATAAGGAATTGTGGCAATACTGTGTTTAGTATAACAAGAGGTTTTTATCAATTGAAAAGGAAAAGACATGCTGGCAATCTGAACTCAGCAACAAAGAGTAAAGCAGTTAAAAACCATTGTGTCATCCACATTAGCTGAGCTTTGAATGTAGAAGAGCAAATCATATGAAACACATACACAACTAGGTAATATCAAACAACCTAAGGTTGATATTGTACACACCTGTACTGAAGTACACTGACTACTTAATGGTGAGGATTTAAGGTAATGTTTTTTTTTTTAAAAGAGGTAACCTTTGAAATCCAAATGGTTGCACTTCACACACAAAAAGTGGAAAAGAAGAAGAATCGTCTTTGGAATGATACATAGACATAAGACACACTGGTTTTGGATTATGCCTATCACCTTGCAGCCTCTGATATTACCTCTGAACAACAACAACAAAAAAATTAAAAAGTGCCGATACTGTGAAAGGAAAGCAAAGTTACTAAGTCTGAGTGCATTAACCATTTCTGAGAAAAAAAAAATGGGGTTTGGATTTTTTTGTTTTTTTCAACATTTTTAAAAAACGCAACAGCCTTACTGGTGCGAGTTCAGGACAAAAACAAGACAGTCAAGCTCATAAGGTAGAAATAGGTCCTATATAGGTTAAGATTCTTTGGAAATTGCTAAGTATAAAGGAGTTTGTAATCCAGGCTACTATCTTTTTGGCTACTTCAAAAATCTGTGGGAGTTTCCAGCCTATCATCAGTTGAAATCTGTTTTGCAATCACCAAATAAATGCAAGTAAAACTTTAACTAACTTGGGATTCCGTTCACGCACATGGACATAGAAGTCACTGATTGTGCAATGACCTGTTTTTTTCACAGCAGCATATATATGAATCATAACTCATTATTAGACTGACCAGAACAACAGAAAATATTCTCAGTCTTTATGTTTTCAGTCTGTTTTCTTAAGTGGGCAGCTGTGACTGCACTGAAGTGGCAGGTTCTACAAGGGAAAGGCAACAAGATGTGATCAGCTGGTTAAGTGCAGGATCAGAGGTATCTCAGGAAACCACCTGGATGTTTAACTTTTGCCAGTATTACAGTGGCACTAACGGCACACTGAGAAAGTGCAGTAAATGTGTTTGAAGTTAGGACCGTGAAATTCTGTTTAAAACAAATGAAAAAATGAGCCATACCAACATATAAATTGCAATGTTGGCTGTGTCAGACCTTCCCTTATAGAAGATACTGCTTGGGGAGCAGCCTGTTTCTTAGGACTGGAGAGATTCACTGTGTGTCTGGCAAATGATTCCTTGTAAAGTAGATCTTGGGGAGCCAACTTAGCTGCGATTTTGGCTGAGGAAAGTGATGGTACAGAGCAATGAGCTCAGTAAATAGACTGTTTTTCTTTAAGTCATTCAGAATATAACTGTAGACTTGTTTTCCACACATTTGATTTTCAAAATAGGCTGGGCAACTTAGTTGATGACTTGCTTAAAGTAAATCAAATCATGCTAGCAACTTAAAACTGCCTGCTGATTTGAATTAATGCCCATATGTAAAGCAAACAGGTATCAACTGATCATGCTGAAAAGACAACCCCCCAAAGACCTACGTATCACGCAAGGTGCTTTTGATAACTTGGTTTTCTGAGCCTTATAATGAGAGTCTTTAAATACATTTTTTTCAAATTTTTTTTTCTTTAAGCGTTGTTTCATTCTTCCTCCTCCTCATCTTCATCTTCTCCTTCTTTTCCCATTGTTTCCACAAGGAGTTCTGCGGTGCATGTGGCTTCCCCAAGGCTGTTAACAGCTTTGCAGGTGTATTTGGCATCATCGTCCCCACATACTTCAGAAATAGTCAAAGAACAGTTCCCATCCTCATCATAATCTATCTGGAAGTGACGGGACTCCTTGACAGGCTGATCGTCTTTGTACCACATTACCTCAGGGTCAGGATAACCTGCAATAGTAGAGAGAGAACAGCAATTGCAATAAATTAGTATTAATTAATCTGTAATTACTTTAAGCTTTAATTCCATGTCTGTGTATGGACACACCAATATGTCGATATACAAATATTTTGTTGAATTCTACTGAAAATAAATGTAGATGATCTGAGTCTTTTTAACTTCATGTTTACCTGAAATAACTTCATTACGAATAGAAAAAGTAGAAGGTTAGCACTGAGGTACTCACTTTCCACTACTTTTGCAGTGGCTGCAGACAGCTTTTTCTGTGTGTCGGACGTCAGGGAGTGAGGGACGCTAAATAGCGTATTTGAGGCTTACCTTACGCTGCAGCTTTTGTGGAACCTGCAGTTCCCTACAATGAGATTGAGAGTTTCCTTTCAAGGGTAAGGTGCTTTGGGCTACAACTAAATTTAATATCCTTCCCAGGTTGCTTTCTTGTGGCTTATTCTGAATCTTCCTCCTCCTAACACACCAGCCTGTCCTGTACAGCGACTATGGCACTCCCATTTCCTATTTGTGTTCTTTTGGTTAAGTGTGGGAGTCTGAGAAAAGCATTTTGATTCTGCACCTCAACAGGAGTTTTGGAGCCTTTTGTGAAGCAAATGGCTCTGCTATACTCAAAGCATCCAGAGCAGGGCTGTACAATGCATGCTGGAGAACAATCCCTTATACAGTACTCTTGGCTGCTGTAAAAAAATTGAGGGCTTGTTGTCTCAGCCAAGTTCTGGACTGTGACAGGAGGATGAATTCCCACTGAGCAGAAATAAAGTGCAGGAATTCCCTAATACACAATGAACATTACAGTGATACACTGGAAAGTTTGGAACATCAACCGTGGTACGTCCGTCTATTCTATGCCATGTAGTAATTATGCACATACCCCTCACGCTGAGCATCCATCAGCAACAATAATCCATCCTCACATTTCCGCTGTGAGGTAGGAAACACAGACACCGAAAGAGATTAGGAGCACAGAAACAACCAAGCAGAAGGTCAGTGAGGCAGTTTCTGGACTTCGTTTTAATATTAGAAATTGTCTAACATTTAACACATGCAGCATGGTACCGACTCTATCCATTTTGTTTTAACAGCTCTTCTCTTCCTAATTTCTAGTTTTCAGCAGCAGCTGTGATACAGAAGCTTCAATCTCATTGTGATAGAAATGCTAGCAGCCTTGGCCTTCAGACTGTTAGGCTGACTAAGCCCAAGCTCCTTAACTGCCTTCTTGTAAACTTATTCTTTCCAACTGCATATTCCAGTCTGAATTTTTGTTCCTTCAACTCGTAAGTTAAAAAAACCAAACATGACCACAGTATTTTCTAGATGTGATTTCTGTAACCAGCGCAATGATACTATCATTACTTCTCATGCAAATACTCTGTTAGGGACTTCTTTGCCTTTAATACAATGTATGTGTGGCTTAAAGTTATCTTGAGGCCACCTGAAACTTGTCATTTTAGAAAAGTGACTTCCTACTTATTCTTGGTTTCTGGTTAGCAGTCTCTAAAAGCATACTCTTGCAATTTATGGTACTACATTGTGTCTTGTTTTTACTGTTTCTGCTCTCAAAAATCATCGTACTGTTCACACTTGCTATTCTGAATTAGTGATTCACACATTGACTTTTGGAGACTGCTGTTCTATGGCAAGCACAGAACAAGCCCATGCAGCTCCAGATAATTTCTGTTATTGCAACACATTCGTGCTGTGACATACAGATATTGGTAAAGCAAAATGGCACAAACTCAACCATAATGCAGAAAGAAAAAAAGAAAAAATTAAACAGCACAATGTAGAAAGCTGTCAAGGAAAGAAAGAAAAAGAGATACGCTAATTCAAAGTACCTTCAATTTTGCAATCAAATCTAGCAGCACTTCCTTCCACAACCTCTATGTCAAGGATTGTTTTAGTAAAGTATGGCTTTACATGGGGCTTTTCTTCAGCCACTTCTTCAAGGAAAGCATCTGGAGGAGAGCAAAGAGGTAGTTAATTATTTCGCAGGGCACATTCTCAAAAGCCACATTTTAATTTTTAATTACCAGATGGTAATGAAAGCATCTTTTATTTCACTTAATTCTGTCAGGCTAATGGGACAGTGAGGACGTTAGCTGCTTAGATTTGTGCCAATCTTTCGCAGCTGGACAAAGATTGAGACCATAAATAGAATGAAATCAACATGCAGGCCACCACGCTACGAATCATCTTTATTTTCTCCTTGAGTTTGTTTCTAACCGAACCTGGACTTTTGCTACTCGGAGGGGTAAACCAGTTCAACTTGTACCAGGCCCGCCGTCTATGTGAATATGTCAAAATGACTTGGTTGATTTTCAGAAGTGTCAAACATTTGCCCCCCTGATTGTTACACACCACAAATCCACATTTCACATGGGGACGCAGGGGAATAATGTAGACACATTATTTTTTTTCTTAAATGCCCTTGTCTGAGGAGCATGGTTAATGCAGAGTACATGTCTTTGTTACAGCAAGCGTTAATACTTTATTGCTTGCTTGCTTGCAGGAGAAGGCAATTCATCACTGTAATCTTTGTATAAACATGCATTCCGAAACTGATAGAAAGTGCAGCTGACAAATCTGCCTTAATTTTTTGGCTTTAAAAAGAGTTTACTGCCTGTACATATACTGAGGCATTTTGAGTAGCAGAACAATATAGAACAATTCATTTTGGACAGAATTCTTTTTAAAAAAGAAGATAAAAACAGAGAGAGAAGCAGGAATAATCAACTCAATGACTGGTCCCTAGCATTTTGCTAAAAGTCTTTTCACAGAGAGGTAAAAATATGGTGCAGCAAAATTCCTTACCTTCATTCTCTACTTTGTCTGCATTTATAGGGCTGGTAGGCGAGCTCCCAGAGGCCTTCCTCCCACTCATACCAGAAATCATTGCCATGGATGACAGTCTTCCTATTGCTCGGACAGCATGGCCTGTTTTCTAAGACATAACATAAAAGGCTTCTGATCAATCCAATCCAAAAGGCATGTGATTTTCTGTAACAATCGTGCTTCGGACAAATTATCTGGGATCTCTGCAAACCTCGCTGGAATTGTTGGACAAACTGCTTATATATAGCTCTGTTGTTTTAGGAGAGACAGAGCAGGCTGGTCTGAATTACCAAATTTAGTTGCAGATATAAACTTCCCCTGATGAACTCATACCTAAATGAATGTCTCTGTTAGCTGTGGATAAAAAGCACAGTGCGAGAGGAGGGCCAGCAAAAAAGCTATGTCCTGTTTAACTGGATCTTAACTCTGGTGGTGGACGGCTCTTTCAATAGCCATACGGGCTGGACTGAGTTTCATCAAGGATGAATAACCAGCTAATAGGAAATGAATGAGAAAGTACCATCTGCATGATGGAAGCAGACCTCTGACAGGCTCGAGAATCAACCACCAGGATACTAAAATATGCTCAAACTACGTTGCCTCTAGCATGGACACTTGTATTTTTGTACCGCTTGCATGAGTTCCTAAGAAACACGTACAGCAGAACGTAAGAGGAAATATAAGGTAGATTTGCATAAATGAATATTTTGTAGGCTACTCAAAAGGCTGGAGCCAGGATTTTATACATCAACTCCCCTAGCTATCAGAACGGCACAGACAGCCTGCTACAACAGTTCCAGTGTTAAGAAAAAAGAAGATATGGAGACCAAATATGTCAAAAATCATTAAACCAATCTGACCAAATCCATGAAAAGCTTGGTGCTCCAAGAGGACAGAACTACTGGCTTGGGAGAATTAAGCTACCGTAAAATGAGGTATCTTTAGAGAGGCCAGGTGGACAAGCATTTCCCTCGCTGTTCTGGTTCGTTAAGGTTAACATAATCCCCCAGCCCTCAGTGGCACTGAGAGGTCAAGGAGGAGAGATGACCATACCCTCAAAAAAGAATAGGAAAAACTGTACGTGAACTCATACGCCTCTTAGTAGCCTGAAATGGAATTATCACGTGTTGCATATATGCAGCGTGCACCCTCCTACTGCTCGCCCATAGAAACCAAACCCTGTTTTACTGCATTCATACTCCGGCCACGCTGGAGTTTTCACCAGCAGCAGAAACCACCTGGTATGACATGCTTCTCAGAATTATAAACATTAGAAACAAAGAGACTTATTAGGATAACTAGCCCAGTTCTATATCCTCTTCATTACCTGCCATTTTCTTCTGGCCATATATTTCTTCATCCTATCTTTGGAAAGTTTTTTGGCTTCCATGTTTTTGGTGTCTTTTTGCAGCCAAGGATGCTGAAGACATTGAGTACAATTTAAGCGACTCCTGTTTTTATAAAAAGACTAGTCAGTGTTGCCATTAACGATGATTGAACCTACCTGCTTTAACATTATTTTGCACTCTCTTTTCTCAGAGCTGATTTTTATGTTTCCTAAATTTAGCAAAATAGATCACATGGCACTGCTTTCCCAGCCGTGCTTACTTCTTAAACTCACTTTCACAATTTCTCTAGGTTTTTTTGAGAGAAAACTGTGCATTTTTAAGCGTTAATAAAACAGTATAAAACAAAGCATGAAAAGCCCTATGTTTTAGGTACAGAACACATACAACAGAGCCACAGTGGCAATGATTCAGCTACCCCATGCTGCCAGAACCCTGTCCCAGGTCTCCTTTCCTTCACTTACAGAGTTTTCCCCTTTCCTGCCACTTAATACCCTCCTTCCCTGCAGCACTGAATATTTAATAAAACACAAGTGTCCAAATCTGTAATCAAGCCACACCCATTCTTTGTTTTGTTCATGGTACCCAGATAAATAACCCTCCGTTCTCTGTCCGTCCAATTGCAAACTCATTGGAAGAAGTACGTTTTCTTTCCTCGGTTTGTTCAGAGCCTGCTGTAAACAGGGCTTCCAACTAATTTTTTTTTTTTCTCTTCTCAAGTACTAGATTTATAGGAAAGCTGCCTACTCAGAGGTGCCGCACTTAAAAGCGACACATGGAAGTAAATCTAGCAAAATTGCAACCCATTCAGATCAAGACAGAACATGTCATGCAGGGATCTGTGTCACACTACAGTGAAGGTAAGAGTAGCCACACAAAACCTCAGGCTGCATCTTGCCTGAAGGAAGGGAAAAGCCGAATGAGAAGGCGGTTAGGAGAAAGAGCTCCATTCAGACTCTGCACCGTAAAATAAACGAGAGCTGCACATGAGACAAGTGGGCACACAGAGCTCCTTATAAAGTATCGTCAGAGGTGCCTGCATCAACGTGGAGATTCACAGCGGGGAAACAAGAATGACAAGTTCAGCTAAACGCAAACATAGAAAGTGTATCAAGTCCAGTGGCTTTACTTCATATCTTTCTTTAGTAGATTGCTGATAAAGTCCTTGGCATCATCAGAGATTTCATCAAAAGCCTCATCATCGAAGTCCCACGTTGCTGAGGTAACATTGGCTAGGGTTTCGTTGTCGTTGTCTCCCATGAATGGAGAAAGTCCACTGACCCTGGGGATAGAGTAGACAGACAGACACAAAACAAATTTGTGTCAATTTGCAACGTTATCAGAGGAGCAAATTAAAATTGTGTGGGACATCTATGCTCTGCAGATCTTCATCAGTAAAATCTCCCTTTAAAAAAAAAAGAAAAAGGACTCAAAGCTAACTACAGATAGTCTTATGGGAAGGAAACTAGAATTTTGACTGCAAAATTGAAAGGAAAACTTTTGCTGTTTCTTTCTCCTTTCCCAAGACATTTTTGAGGAGAGGACTTGAATTAGGTGAAAGTGGAGCATACTGGTTTGTTAAATGACTTGTCTCACTTAACATTTTCACACCAAATTCAGTTGAATAGCTTTTTTTTCCCCTGGTGCTTTCAGAGTGACTTTGCTTCCTTTACTGTCACACCAATTTTTTTCAGGTACATTTTATTCGATTTACTCGTGCAGAAAAGGACCAAGAAGAAAGATGCATCATGAAATCATGAAATCCACAGGGCTATTTTGTAAACAAAACCACACTGAATTATATAGCCAGATAAAACAGTGCTACATCACTGCAGGCTGTAGAGTTATGCACATGCTTCCAAAAGTAATTTAGTCTTTACGTTCTCAGTCAGTCATGATGATGCATGAAATGGAAATAACACTCTTTTATAACCTACATTGAGCTTCTAAGGCTTTTTACTCAATATAACTGATAAATTGCCAGTGAAAGGCAATTACAGAACATCATGGTGTAATTTTTGCACAGTATCTTTCTCCACTTGAGCGTTGTCCTTTGTTATACTGTACCTTTGTGCATCCAGATACTTTTGATTCCTGTATATAACACCCTTTCAGTAAAAACTTTCAGGTGAAAGGTTGTTTATTTCTTAGAAAACGACAAATTACTCAGTTTTTCAGGTCTTCTTCCTGGCATGCAATTTACATACTAACCTGTTCTTCATGAAATTTTACAGACGTTATTTGCTTTCTCTGTACAATCATGTTAACTAGTTACAACAACCACTTACATTTCAACAGTAGTATTTTCTTTTTTAAATACGGAAAAGTAAGTGCAATTTATTAGGGTTCTGAAAATACTATATGGATATAATACTATATGAATATCATGGTGCTACTGAATATCACAGAACAACCTGGTAGAAAAAGACATTGGTCAAATAAAGTGAGCTACTAGATTAATAATATTAGTATAATCTCCTTCTCCAAAGTTATTTTGCTACTCTTTTGTTACTGATTACATTCAAAATCTGATTTAGAATTTGTTCGTAAGGATTTTATTTCTATAAGCAAAGCAGAAACACACACCCTTTGAAGCTTCAGACAAAACAGATATTTTTACCATTTCTGGAAGTTGTGTGCAGTACAGCAGTCTACAATCTTATGTGCATACTTCAGAAATTTGCTAGTAATAATACATGACATGAAGATAAAAGGTTTGTTTCTTCTCAGGCAGAAAGAGGTAAATCAGAACAGAAGGTATTTGCTGTCTTACTTTCCATTATATGGGGAGCATTCAAATGCAACAGTGAATCATGACTTTATAAATGTATAAGGTGTCATAAGCCCCTTTTATGAACATATACTAGGCATGAGTTACAGCAAGCTGAAAGATTAACATACCCAAAAATGCTCACATAAACCAACTTTACCACGACTGCTCATGTGCCCTCATGCACATCAGCTGTCACAGCCAGGTAAGTCATTGAAGCGAAATCTTTGTCCTGAAATCTGCAAAGCACTCCTGCAGGGCCTTAAGCCTATCCCCACTCCAATATTTAAGCATTTTCCTACTTATGACAATGTCATTGTTCTTTATAATGTTTTAGAAAATGAAAAAAATCTCATCCAGACTGCAGCTCTAACTTTTGGGTTCCAGACGTTTATTGCCAAGTTGTCTCTTTTTTGGCTACGTAGTAAGTACAATAATCTCACAGCCAATTCAGCGTCTGCTAAAAAGGCTCACGTTTTATACAGATGAAGGGCCTACGAAGTATTTCCTTAGTTCTCCATCAAAATAGGAGATGCACATCTTCTCTTCATCCAGTTAAGCTTCCAGAAGACACACTTGGGCAGCCAGCGCAATAACAAGCCCATCTCCCTTCAATACTTGATCGAAGTACGGCAAAGGTGACCTCTGCATAATATTACCACAAATAGTATTGTGCAGCTCTTGTGCTACGTTAGATAATATTTTGGCCTATTTCCAGACATTAAAGCTGCAGTATTGAGAGATCTTTTCCATGCCAAAAAGACTGCTACAGATACAGAGAGATTGCTTCATGTGGAAACACCACCTGCTCCACACTGCCGTAAGGGGCAGTGCCTATAAAGACATCTAGCTTTCTGGATGAAGGGATACTGCATGTCACACACAGCTTTTGAGGGATGAGGATAAATAGGAGGAGAAGAGACAGGAAAAAAACCCTCTGATTGTTTTTTTGTTTGTTTGTTTGTTTTTGTTTTGTTTTTGTTTTTGTTTTTAAAAAATTGTGTGACAGAATAAAGATTGCAAGACAGGATAAAATCTTAAATGCTGTGGTAGGATTGACCCATCCCATGCATTTGGTAAATTACCAGATGGGTCTCAGTTAAGCCTCCTCTCACTTTGTCATTTACAAACAGCAGTATAACAGTACTCAGTCAAATGTTTCAATGAACCTATTTTCATATTTCTGAATATTTCATATTTCTGTTGCAAATTTATAAGGATAAAATAATTTTCTCTCTCTACTATAGTTTTACACTGTGAATCAGTTGCCTTGCCACTGAATACTTGCAAGGAGAAC